AAAAAGTCGATAATCTACCTCCCCAAAAATCCGATAATCTACTTTCCCGGAAAGTAGATATTTCCCATTTTCTGTGATACAAATTTCCCGTTTTCTATGATAATCTACTTCAGAAAATCCCCAAAAAGTCGATAATCTACTTTCCCGAAAAGTAGATAATCTACTTTCCCGAAAAGTAGATAACCAACTTTCCCGGAAAGTAGATATTTCCCATTTTCTATGATACAAATTTCACGTTTTCTATGATAAGTAGATGACCAACTTTCCCACAAAGTAGATATTTCCCATTTTCTGTGATACAAATTTCCCGTTTTCTATGATTAGAAAATCAACTTTCCCAAAATGTAGATATTTCCCATTTTCTATGATAATCTACTTCGGAAACTTAGGTAATGTTTCCCCAAAAATCTATAGTCTACTTCCCCGAAAATTCGATTTTCAAAAATAATCATTCTCACAATGTCAGCACAGCTCTTCTAACTCAAATCTCCGCTCCTGACCCACCCACTCATTGTTCATTGGCCAAAACAAAAAAATCTTGCCCAATAAAAATACTCCTATCACTAGAGCCAATAAGAACCTCCCACTTCACCCCCCGGCACATGCGCCGTAGACGCTCAAGAAGCGAACACGGAGGTCTGGACCGATGCGTGAGCGGGTGTCAGACCTCCTCCACAAGATGTAAACGAGACATGGCGACACTTGTGAATGAGCGAAAGTAATAATCTTGAAAAATTAATATCTCGGTTATCCTTAATTTCTGGTGGAAATATATTAGAAGAAAAATGTCTTAGAAGTGTCTAAACATTACGAAACACATATTAATAACAGCGAAAGAATGTCCGGTGTAAAATTATAAATTCATCACATTTTATACTGGTACCTGTACCTCCCTGTTTAATAGCTGCCTACTGCCTACACAAAAAATCTAAATTTGTTCATTTTGTTTATTAGGATTCATTCATCATTGAAGAATCCTATACTGTAAAAGGAACTTGTGTGTGAGGGTCCCCATTAGTCATTGGGGGTTACATACTGAAGATTTCCCCAATAAGAAATGATGGGATAAGAGGGTTAACATTCCTATTCATCACTAACACTACTCATCCAGCAAAATGAGTGGAATTTTGTCTCAAGAAATAATGTAATAAGGTCATGTTACATTCAAATTTGTTGCCACACCTTAGGACATCCAAACAATATAGTAAAGTCTCGCTTAATGTTGTCCCAAACAATGTTGTTTCGTTATAACGTTAGTCTTTAGATACCCATGATTCTGACAACGTTCTTTTATGCCCCGCCCGATTAATTCTAAAGTTGCCGTAGCATTGTCATCCAGCATTGATATTGTAAATAGAAATATCTTGTTACAAAGTATTTACACATAAACATATGTAGGTATGGGAGTGCCGGATTGTCAGTCAAACAATGTCTGGAGTGTAGACATAAGATGTGAAGAGTGGGGTCATATATATCAACACGGAACAGATGGTAAACAGGGGTCTTGTCCTCGACAAAAATGGCACTGGTACCCTCCTAACTGGCACAGGTACTCAAGAATGGACCCGGGAGGAACAGCACAGAGGCTAGAGCTGACAGCGTCCTAGCTGGCGTGCTGACAACCTTTCAATCATCATACTGCTAAGACCGCCTTGGTCGCGACTCCATGAGCCAATGGTTGCATTTTCAAAATGTGCCAGACCATGGGAGTTGCCTGACAAGAGTGTTCCAACTTGTACAGTACTTTAAAAATGTTATTTTTTTTTTTATCTAAATATATCTGCTAACTGTATTTTTATGCTATCTATATGTTGACTTCTTACTGTACTCTGCCATGGCAAGTAGTGTGAATGACGAATATGAGGAACAAATGACAAATAACAGTTACGTATTCCTCAGTCGATAGGCAATGAATACACTGTATTTGCAATAATAAGAACCCCTGTAATTGTTAACAAAAATAAAAAATTCTCTGAGCCACTCTGTTATAGCAATGGAAGGATCACAGGTATATTTAGGGGATAATTAAATTAGTGGAAAAAAAAAATTAAATATATATATATATATATATATATATATATATATATATATATATATATATATATATATATATATATATATATATATATATATATATATATATATATATATATATAAATAAATACAGTATATATACCATACCTCCCAAGTAGCCCTCTTCCCATATAGCTGAAGACCTTCTCGAACTGCCTCTATTAAGTAGGGTACCAGAGAATAATTCCAGAGGTCTGTAAACCAAACTTGGGAACCTTCTAGGGAGCCTGGGCAAGACAGGAAGAGGCGAGGTCCTGAAAAAATACAATTTATCCTTAAACAATCATTATTAATGTCTTTCTGTAAATAATACAGCATTTCCTACTAAGAATATCATAACAACAACAAAATAAGACCAATGGTCCCCTTCCTGTAATGAATCATGTTGTTAACATTCCAATAAATAATTACAATACTTGAAGAACATTTATCAAATCCCTCCTTACCAATAGTGACATCTGAGGACGAATGAGTCTCCAGGAACTTGTTGATGTGACTCCAGCAACGCGGCAGCCAGTCTAGCACCTGCTGCAGTCGTGGTAGTCTGGACCCAGCCTCTACCTCAACTTGTGTTAATCTTCTTCTAGCCACTCGGCCAACCAAGCCTTTAACTGGTTCCATGTGGTTGGCCATTAGCACCCACCTAAAAACAAGGATATGTTATGCAGACTTGTTCGAATGATCCTTTAATTGCTTCATGTGTCTTTTTACACATAAAACCATCATGAAGCCTTGAATTTTAATAATTAACTGAAAATTGAATAATCTACGATGGCAAAAATTATTCTCTCTGACAAATTTATTAGCAATTTTAAGTCATACGGTACAGTACACCAATAAATAAAATATCTAGGAATACGGCCGATGGAATTCAAAATGAACATATGATTACAATTGTCTCGATAGATTGGTAGGAGTGAATGAGAGATGCATTTCCTAATAGGCCAAATTATGGTAGCTTCTCTTTATAGTAATTACAGTACAGTAAGGTCAGGATATATCATGAGATAGGGTCCAAGGATGTTCGCTATACAGTATACTGTACTAAATCGCAATATATAATTACATGTAATCAATGGGGAAAATAGGGGTAGGTGCTGGAGGCCAATAAAATTTACTAAACTTGTCATAAAATGGCACAGTCTAAAGTTAGTAGAATATAAATTGCATTGTTGGAATCCTTGCAAGACAGCGAATAATTTGAATATAGACATCGTATATTTTTAGTCTTTTAGATTAGTGCATTTAAGTACTGTAAAATTTTTCAACTCATATTTATGGGGTGATTTAGGGGGATCTTTGGAAGTGTTTCTGACTTTATATGGTTTTTGGCTTTATGTGAGGTCCCAGGAACATAACCCCACGTAAATTGTGAGTCTACTGTAAATAAATTTATCGCTATACAGTGGTCCCTCGATTAACGAACGGTTCAATTAACGAAATTTCGGTTAACGAATTAGCTCCCATAAGGATTTTCAGTCCCTTAACGAACAAAACTTCGATTAACGACAGCCTTACGAGAAACACACTTTGTTGTGCACATCAGCTGATCAGCTAGTCTGCCAATACAGTACAGGTAATTGGTTCTATGTTTACATTCGTTTCCAGTGGAGTAATTATCAAGAAAGTTGGTCTCTTGAATATTTTTGCATTTTTTATATTAAAATTATTGGTCATTCTGAAATTTAGTTAACATATTGATAATATATACAGTACAGGGAACAGCTTTTGTGTGCTCTTCGGCTGATCGAATCACCCACCAACGCTTCTCAGTTTAACTTTGTTTACAGTGGAGTGAACATCGAGTTTGTTGGTCTCTTGAATATTTTTGCATTTTTACATTAAAATTATTTGTCATTCTGAAATTTAGTTAACATATTGATAATATACAGTGCAGAAATTATTATGAAACATGAAGAAGGCATTAGAACCAATGCACTCTGTAAAGAATAGGGCATGTCATCATCGACTGCCTCTACAATCAGCTGTTTGATATGTAAACAAAGCTGCCGGGAATACGACATACGAGTACACACCTCAAAGTAAGTTAAAATATAGTACCTGTATTATGTTGTTTTTTACTTATTATTGTACGGTACTGTATTTAGTTTATATTTAACGTTTTGTTAATTCTATTACCGGTATACATTATTTTGTGAGTTGGAACCAATTACCCAATGTCCCACAGAAATAATATTCAGTTAACAAAATTTTTGGTTAACAACCGACTCAGTGGAACCAATTGTGTTCGAATCGTGGGGACCACTGTACATAGGAAAAAGGCGATAATTTGGTAGCCGCCATATAAAATAATCGTTTAATAAAAGTCGCTATAAATCCCGACCCTACTGTACTGTACATCCAAAATCAACACTAAATAAGTTCCAAGTTCTATTATAACAGTTTGAAAACAGTAAACTCTACATGGTATAGTATTTTGTTTAAGCACATTCAAAATATAGTATCCACCTCAGAGGACGAGTTGCCATATACAGTAGGAAAAAAGAAGTCACAGGAAGTGAAGCAAATACAGTAGAATCCCAGTTATCTGGAGTCTAGGTGACTGGCAAATTCAACCAACTGACACCAAATGAAATAATACTATACAGCAATAAAAATTCCTCCAATATCAGCTAAAATCATAAGTTTGAATATGCCAATAGTGATGAGCTGCCATATTTATTGGACCATCTAAGGAACTACTACACCACGTGAGTTCTCCTAACACCATCTGGGAGGGAGTTACTACACTACGAGTTTGCTGTTCAACACCTACATTAATCTGTATGTTCACTGTATGTTCCTTTACCTTTCTAATGAAGGCTTTTGTTAAACCACCAATGTATGTAATAAGTCATTTATGTCCAATGTATATTTTCAGCCTTCAGGCTGCAGAACTTTTTCAATAAACCGTTAATTATTATTATTATTATTATTATTATTAAATTCCACTTCATATAAATGATGTGGTTCAGAGTTAAAGAATTTAGTGAGCACAAGGTGAGCCTAATTTGAACAAATTTCAAATTGCATGTGTCAAAAATGAAGAAACAAAAATGCATTTAATACTATAAACATTTTGCCCCCCAAAAAAAAATATTGTATCATGACAAATGACAGGAAAAGTCATTAGTATTCCATATACAGTACAGTATTGTATTATCATATCCGGAATGCAGGGCTACCAATGAAAAGCAAGAACCTAGTCTCGAGCATTTGTCAAAATCCCTTATCTGTTGTATCATAATGTCAAACACAAAAATGTTAGGATATATACTGTATTTTTTTTTGATGTACAGCCAATCCAAAAAGTATTGAGAACCCAAGCGACTGAAAGCACATGAAACATTGGGCAAAGACCAACCCAACTGATACATGAATGCATCATCTGAGGTTATTGCTTGTTTTTTATTTCACCAGACAGACCCTGGGGTCTCGATGCTTCTGGGTTGGCTTTACATACCATTTATTATTACAAACCTGAAGTTATGATGAAGCTGCAAATTTGTAGTTGAGCATGATGTGGTTTGATTCATGGTACCAATGATGTAGGGACACTGAGTATACTTTGCACTAAGGAACCCATTAAAAACATCAGTTAAGGCTCCTGCATGATGCAAATTGTCAAGTATAATAACCAAGGGCAGATCAGCACTATTATTCTCACACTGGTCGCTGACATGTGACAGGTATGCTCCAAGATCTTTTCCTGTCTTGTGGTCAACACTGATGGAAGAAAAATTGGAAAAAAATTAGTATGCACAGCTCTATGCATTTATTCTATCTATAATGCCTGGAGATCTGTATCACCTCTACTGTAATATCTAGGTAAGGAAGAACACTAAAACTGCAAAAAGATTATGTTACATGAAAAGAATAACTCCCTGGAAAAATATGCTCCTTATTTTCTTTAATTTAAAATAAATGTAAAGGAAACCCTAAATCAATTGGACTAGATAATTTTACTTACTTAAAAGTTGCAATATATCCTGGTGTTGGATCCTTCCCCATTCTGGTGACTAAGTATTCAGCAAGTTTCTGAGCCAAATATGTTTTTCCAGTTCCTGAGGGGCCACAGAGAATAATTCTTCTGTGCTCGGTGAGGAGAGACATGTATCTCTGAACAATTGACTTGGGAATCAGAGTCTCAAATGCTAATGCATCTACATGATTAATTGTAGCTCCCTTGAGGATGATTTTTATGTTTGTAACTTCTCCAACTAGGTATCCACAAGGCAGTAGCTCAGGTGATTCTGGATGACGGCCTCTTGCAATTTCCCCAATGTGATATGAAAGGATGGATTCTGCACTAAGCCCAAGATTAGACACTGGGTCAACTCTCAGGATGTATTCCTTAAAAATGCGCTTCACTAGACTGTCTAACATATCCCACTTGGTCTTTCCACTCACAGAAATAGCACCTATTATACACTCACAAGCTGTTATGCCATCTACAGGAATCATGTATTTATCATAATTGCCATGACACCCCATGAACACTGTGATACTGACTCTCTTTCCATCTTTATCACTTGGGTCAATTAGAATTACATCTGATGAGTCGGGCATCGTAATCTCTTCACCAAGACTTAACCTTTGTTCTATTGAGTCTGACACGGGAAGTGAACTTTGTGAGGAGTTCAGAGATTTTGAAGACACCAGTCTATGCAATCTGTCATTGTCCTGTTTCAATGATACCATTTCTGTTCTCATCTTGCTCAAGGTTTCCTTCAGGGATTCTAACTGGTGAGCTGAAGTCAGGGCCTCTAGACGTATGTCAGTGAGAGCCATGTCCTTCTCCCGCAATTGGCACTTGAGGATCTCGACATCTTCTTCCTTTGGTTTACTCTCCATGCACATGCTTTTGGAGAAGAAAAAATTAAGAAATAGTACACAGTATACATATAAAAAAGTTACACCAAGGAACCTTTACCTAATTCATGCTTTAGGGCCGAGTCTAAAAGCCTATTAGTATGGTGCAGTACTGCACCCACAATCAAGCTGGTAAACTACTGTACAGTAAAGTACAGTACTGTATATTAATTATTTGTGATACTCATCAGAATCATTTGATCCCCCTTCAATCATTAACTGATTTTCTTTTAAATATAACTAACTGCTCTCATATTTTTAATATATATTTCAAGTTATGGGCATGATCTTTGTCTCAGATACAAGATGCAGTATTTCAATTTGTATATTCTTGGTGCATTAAACTTTTTTGTTAAATCTTCTATTTTAATTGTGTAAAAGCATCGGTGAAGGACTATTATTATTTTTTTTTCATAAAGATTATCTTAACCCAGTGGCAGTCCTGGTTCTCATAAAAAATTAGCTTAATGCCAGTCACATTATCTAGCACAGTATACTGTAGTGGTACTACTGAAAATATTCTTAAAATAAAGATAAATTACTGTATACTAACCTAGACATAGACTGACACTCTGGGTCAGTTGATCCTCCATTTGCCCGTTGAAGTTGTGGCGACGAAGGAGCAGAACAGTCACCACGATCGCATCCCTCCATGTCTGATACTGATCCACCAGGTTTGCTCTTTTTGTGCCCTCGGGAGAATGCCTTGCTAAATGAGCTCCGGAGCTATGAGAAATTTGATAAATATATTGTTGATGACTTCATTTTACAAACATATCTACATAAGCATACCTGAATGTGATCATGACATTCTACACAGTCAGCATTTTGTATTTTCGTAACTTATATGGAACTAGAATAATTCTCAACAAATCAACACAAATTATAAAAGTTTAAAGTAATAATTATGCTTACAGGATAATAACTTACCCATCCCTTCTTTTTGCCAGATTTTGAGCTGTCACTTTTATCGTGGTTTGAGGTGTGAGAGGTTGCTGAGCAAGCTGAAGATACACTTGACACAGACTCTACAGATGTTCCTCGCACTAGTTTACCACCTGTTGTCAAAAATGTTATAAAATGAGACCACTACAATTAGCACCAAACACTAAATTTCTTTACTTTAAACAGAGAATATATGAATGCTTTCTCTCCGCATCACTGGGTAAAAATACTGCATGTCAAACACTGTATGTCTATGTATGAATGAAGTGTTATGATCTCAAATTAAGGTAAAACTAATAATTTTGACTTCCTTTTCTTCCTAGTTAATTATGTCAAGTCCTCTGCTGCTAATCCACCAGACAAAATTTAATAGGTATCTAGTTCTAACAGAGGATATGAACATGACCTTTCCAATGATTTATAATGATTTAGTCACTACATGGTGAAGATTTGTTATCCATCCATTTCCCACCAGACAAATTATAAAAAAATACATGCACCTGACAAACATTTTCTAAATTCGTTAAGTCTCTGTATAATATCACATGCATTACTAGGTGGTCTCCTTTCACCCTTGCAAGCAGTTTCTCAATATATTGGAGTAGGGCTGGAATATAAAGCAAAACACACACATACACACACTAATTCATCTATATTATGAGTACACTTTACCACATTCAGGATCAACCCAGAATAGTTCAGCTGCTTACTAAATAGACATCTTCAAGTTCCATGTTGGTTTGTAGCCATTTAGTGCCCCTTAGGTTGGAATGCAAGTTCCTGTAATCTTTATAAATTAAGAAGTGACTCTTTTCACTAAGTTCAAGTACATTGTTCAACCTTAGGCACACTTCTAACAGCATTTTATCTGAGGAAATGCAGCAATAACTACCTTATGAAGGCCCTTTGTAAATGTTTTCCATAGTGAAACACTGTAACCAGGAAGGACAGAAAACATTCATTTCTTTGTTTAACAACAATATTTAAAATCAATGAGATTTGTGCACGGAAACAATTTAAGACATGACATGTGCAATTAATAACCACAAGAAATAACAAATTACACCAAAAGCCAGCAAGCTTCAACAGAGGAGGCAAAGTGAAGAAAAAAAAAGACATGCAGAAGAAAATGTATAACAATTATCATTAGTACAGTACTGTATTTCTATTGCATTAGTTTTGTTTTGTAAATTGTAATTAAACTTATGAAAAACGATCAAGCTTGTTGGAACAGTTTACAAGTAATTAGCAATTCACAGCAAAATTTGTATAAAGGGGGTACAAGAAATGGAACATTAATAAGGATAACAATAAGAGTACATGGGAGGAAAAGGAGGCTCATTCTGTGACCTGCAGTTAGCCATCACCCATGCCTAACCATTTTATAACCAAATGGCTCAGTAGTATGTTGATTCATGAATTGATAATTTTGTTATTCTTTAGTTGCCAATGCCTGGCTGCTGTAAGTCAGCTCAACCAATGAGAATCAGCATGAGCTTTGAAATATAGAAGAGAAGCCTGCTTGCTTGTCAAAAGGTGACGAAGTCTCACCAGCTTCACTGAATTCACACACTACAAGGTCTTTACAATTCCCTGTGAAAGTGTGCCTGCGTGCAACATCATGACCCGGTTTTTCTGGTGAACTGGAACGACTTCCGGTGGTAACATTGAGCACAGAACACGAGGCAATGTTGGGAGGGTGCTGGGAATGGTGGTGCCTGGTGGGGGAAGGGGTGGAGTGGAGGTGGTGGTGGTGGTGGTGATGGTGGTCAGGGGACGTACTTTGCAGGCATGCAACAGTCAGCCCGGCATCTACACTCTGCTGGCGTAGTGCTTCAATTGTTTTCCGTAATTCCATAACTTCCGAGTCCTGCAATAGCAAATGTTGAGGCTATAATTAAAGAAATAACAGTTGACATTACTCAAGAGGATAAGTTAATTTTACAAAAAGTGTATACAGTGTAAAGTAATTAAAAAACAATTCAAGATTTCTTCTGAGTCTTGTTTTCTTTGATCTTAACATAATTCCTAAAGATAAATTATTTGTAACAAGTAAAAGAGGATAGGGGGCCATAAAAATACTTTTTATACCTTTTGTTCAGATGTAGCTGTAAGTTGTTGTAATCTGTTGGTCATGTTTGTAAGAGACTGTTCAAAGGCAGCTACAACATGAGCCTGAGGAGAGAATGACTGTGTATGAGACTTCCGCAAGGAAAATATACAAGAATGTTAACAACCAGCCAATACTTAAGTGATGTGCCGAATGATACAGTGCCTGACTATGTGCAATTTATCATCTGCCACCATTATTTACCCAAGAAAAAGTTCTCTGATAATTACCGTATTCATGAGGTTGAAAACTGAACTCTGAAAAGAAAAATACTTTAACAAAAATAGTGTTCTCTTAAAATGGAATGAAATCTAATATATATTTATGTGACTGGGAGAACAAAATATATAATTACATGATGTTCTTAAATAAATTTTTACACAGGGATGCACAATTAAATTTTTAAAAAACTATAAAATAGTTTTTTTAATAAACCTTTGGATGACATTTCTGCATGCAATTATCTTGTGGAATGAATACCTTATGTTTGGCTGGTTGTCAGTAACTTTATGAATACAAAGCTTCTGAATAACTGAGAGCAAAACATAACAAAAAGTTCTGAAGTTTCTAAAATGTAGAAAATACACAGGTTACATCAATACAATGAGGATCAGCAATTCTTGATCTGTACAAATATCTTTTATCACTGTACATGTTTTCTCAATTCTTCTAGCCAAGACATTAACTGTAAAATGAATGCCACCATGGAGGTCACAGATTTGTATAACATTGTATAGTAGGTATTAAAAATTTTATGGTGGCATCAGGAAAATCAGCTTCTCTAGTTATTTATGTATTAAAGAATTAGGCTAAAGCTGGTAGACCTATACTTATTAGATACCATTATGTTCAGAAACCTGTTACTACAATAAGCAAGTTCCTCTATCAATAACAGTAAATAAGTACAACACAAATGTCTGATTTTTTTACATAAATCTACAATCCACAATTCAAACTACAAACTATTCATCACAAAACAAGATACTATATACAGGGGTATCTTCAAAAATACAGAATTATGCAAACTTACATTTGTAGTGAGCTGGTTGGTCAGCGATCCCACTTTTTCTTGTGCGTCAGATAAATCCTTCCGCAGTTTCCTAATTTCTGCTGCCTGTTTCTCCTCTTGGGAACTATACAGTGACGACGATGATGATACAAGTGACAGTGAAGATCCATGACCTGAGGGAAATGTAGATATTTTGTTTAATTTTTCATACATATTTTATTCTAACGACATGAACATTATAGCAGTAACATATGAAATGATAACTGTATACGTACATGTACAATATCGATTGGGACTATTGCTCGTACAGTATTGTTCTGGTCCCAAGTTCCGATATTGGGATATTCAAGTGAAGATATGAAAATGTCTACTGTGAAGGTCCTTAGCAATTACCATTTCATAAAAAGTTTGCAGATTTTGACTTCTTTTAAGAATTTGTTTTCTTGGGTCCTCACATTTGTTCATATGTTACAGAAAATGAATTAATATTTTAGTTTGCAAGATGAAAACAAATTTTAATCAATACAGTATTACTGTGCTTGGTGCTCACTTTACGATCAGCTAAGTTAAGCAAAGACAAACTCCAGTCGAGTAACCATTAGCCTTACAAGGCTTAGAAAAAACAACAGCGAAATTGTAAATAAAATTGTGTCCCAACTAATATGCAGTTTGCCATATCCTAGTTAAACATATTAAGTTTATTGAGTTTTTCTTGTGCGGCTTTATGATAAGCAAGGAATATGACCTTGGTGATGTGAATCTAGAATATATAAGAACTTAAACAACAAAACAAGGTGCTGTAGCAAAATGTAGTCACTATGTAGCCTATTATGGTAATAAGCAGTCAGACAAAAGCACTGTACAGTATAACCCAAAGCAAATTTACAGCAAAATCTAAAAACCTTAGAATATGTTGAAATTTTAAAACATTAACAATTAAAGGAATTTAAAAGATCTAGAAAATTTAAATCTTTATTTCCCCCACCCCCCCAAAAAAAAATTTGTCAGCTATTTCTTGCAAGTCAAAAAAGTCACCGAAGGTAAAATAATTACTGTGTAATGTATCAGAGTTCTCAAATTGGGGTTCGTGAACCACCATGGGTACGCAGGAGGGTTTCCATGGGGTACATTGAGGAGTGGCAAAAATCAATACTGTATAGTATATACTAATTTTACGAGATTTAATTCACGAGGTGATATGAATTTAATGTTATCTTTACAATATGGAAAGTAGCGTCTAACCAAACACCAAATATGTTTTAACACTGTCATTCTATATTGATTTAGTGTTAATGCAGTACCATTCTATAATCAGTGTCTCAGTAATGGGGGTACGGGTCGATGGTCTAAGAACTCCGAAGGTACCTGGTGAGAAAAAGTTTGACAAACCCTGACCTATATGATTTTCAAATGAAATAGGGTTCAGGATGGTGTTTCCCAGCCGTGACAAATTTAGGTCGGATGTGAAATTGGTTTTAAGGAAAGCTTCACGTTGTCATTTGCAAGGTGAAAATTAAAACACTCAGATGAAAAATAAATAGAACATGATTTAACAATGCCAAGGCTTTACTTGATTGAAGCTCCCCTGATGTTTTCTTTTAAATATTACTACCCTGTACATACAGTGAACCCTTGAAGATCTGGACCCGGTAAATCCAGATTTTGGAAGATTCAGACAAAAAATTGGGGGATCTGGGCTAAGAAGCCTCCCTAAGAAGTATTCCCAATATAGAGCAAAGAACATTTTAGGCCTGTGGACACTGGTTGACCAGTTGGTCGCACTGGACACAGGTGCCCAAGGAGGTGGGAAACTTAATCAGTTGTCAATTGTTATTTGTTGGAATATTATTTCATTCATTCTAGTAATGATATAATGTTTCTTATTATGTTATTGTAGGTATATGCATGGTTTATATAATTTATTAACCACTGTGCCCATCACTGTTTTCAAATTAGACTAAAAGATACGTACAGTATTTCTCCCATACGTATTTAGATCGTACGCCTGGCAATGGGTGCAAGTAAGGGGTGTGAGTGACTGAGTCTTCTAATTAGTACATGGGCTGCTGTTGTAACTCATCACTCCTCCCTGCCATATTTCTCTGGATTTACTGTTATTATGTTTACTGACAAATACATAGTGCTTAATAGTGATTAATCATGGCATCTAAAGCAAGTGGTGGTGTGATGAGAAAGCATGTACATTTATCTGTTGTGCAGAAACTCAAGTTAGTAAAGAAGTTAAGAGTCTGGTGTGTCTGTGGCTCACGTCTGTGATGAATACGGCATGAAGAAACTGTGTCAGACATACGCAAGGCCAAGGATAAAATTTCCGCATTTGCAATGAAGTATGATGTTGATGGTGCCAGTACGGCTAGTGCAAGGAAGCAAATGAAAGTGCTGAAGGATAAAGAGCTGGAAGAAGCAGTGTATAAGTGGTTAGTTCAGCAGTGTTTGTGTGCAGTTAAAGTTGGTGACGTGGAGATAGCTGAAGCGGCTAATATGCAGGCTCCTCTGACTCATAATAATAATTTGTTCTCAGTCCCCACTATACGATCACAGAAACACAAACTCATCTATCCGCTGCATAAGGTATGTGTGACTACATTACTGTATTTTTGGCATCTCTTTTATCATTATTTTCATTTTTTATACATTTTGGACATTCGCCGGAAGATTCGGACAACCGGCTTTTTCGGACAGGTGTATTTATGAATGACTCAAGTAGCTCAAACATACAATACTAAGGCCACTAATACTACCCACATATTTCGACAATTTGGGAGTTATTGGTAACTAACCCCCACAAATAGCAAGGGTCTACTGTACTGTACTGTATTTGTCTAATGAGAAACACTCACATTCATCATCTTTTGAAGTTCTGGGAATGACAGTTGAGTAGTATGGAGAACCTCTGACAGTGTTCAAGGGTGAGATGGGCAACCTGGCTCCTGCTGGTGGTGTTGGGCTAGTGGGCTGTGAGGCATGGTAACCTTCACGACCACTCACACTGCTACTATACAACTTTTCAGATTTTGTTGATCTGTTGAATGAGAAAATTATGCATTAAATATAGACATAAATTGAATCTAACTGAATGATTTGCATGAATAAAACATGAAAGATTTATTAATACATTATACGGGTAATGTTACATGGAGAACCCCCAAGGTCGTAAACTGTACTGTATATTGCTAACAAGAATAATGTTTGATATCAGGGTTTAATTACCTAATAATATTAAAGTGCTAATTAGTGGGAATACTAAATCAGGAGAAGACAAGTAATTTCAGTACCTGTACCAGTTGCATGTACTGTACAGTACAGTATGGAATAAAAAAAGATGGGAGGATTTATGGGAGACTTGAAAAAAAGGAAAAAGAATAGTGGAAGAATGGAAAAGGATACACTTATTATACCAGAATGAAAGAGAGAGTGAATGACAGTGTGAATGAAGATAGAATACACGAGTGTATCTGCTCTAGATTCCTGTCACTGCCCTATAGCAATAAATGGCTTTAAAAATAATGTATGACTTCTCTTATACTGACTGCACGAGGAAACATTAAATTAACAATTCTGCATAGTCCAACGTGTGTACTCCTATAAGGATGGGCCCAAAGTGTCCTGTTGCACTCTCAATTATCAATCGGGAATGGGGTCAATGAAGGACCTCGTAGAACTTGAGCCACCAACCAATGTTTATTAAGAGGATACCTAAGGCTGGTACTGCTTCATATATCCCTTAACAAAATGTAACGATTATGAGGCAGTGATGATTTTGTTTTATTCCTAAACATGAGTGACCAGTTCTCAGAATACACACTGCCACCTTCATTAACCTACACCTACAAGTAATGTATGCAGAGCATTACTTACAAAAAATATGGTACCCTCCTTGTATAAAAACTATGGTATATAAGTAAAGGAGGTGAAGTAATATACAGTAATTTGTTTTCTCTGGCTATAAGTGACATCTATCCACAACAACATCTAAAATAACATTATGTACGGCACTAGTATATCATAAGAAGTGCATATTACAAAATGCAAAAGGTGTTTACAAGCCATGCAACCCAAAAACAAAATTTTCATTTTGTTAAATCATAAAACTAAAATACTGTACTGTACAAGCATCTTCATAAGCTTAAAAATGTGTGCTTGCAGGTATGTGCATAGTCATGCATACACAAAAACACAATAACAAAGACCTAAAATTATTTCATCCATCATTGACAGTATGATCTGCACTATGCACATCTTTGCTAAGTTAGTTTGTTTACATGATGTCATCCACTTTGCTACTCTATGGTTATAATGAAGCTGTGAAGATAGATTTGTAATTTTAGGGACAGCTTCATTATAATCAATTAAGTCATGCACATTATCTATTATAAGTAAACCATTTACAAGAGTTGCTTCTTATAAGCTCAAACCAATACAGAAACTATTATACTTTCCCCACATATAGGCTCATGATAAAAATATAAATAAATAAAAGTAATAAAAAAAATTCTATAAAGGCTCAATGTTACATGAAATGGAGGTGATGCATGATTTCCTCTGAGTAACATTCTCCACAAATATAAAAATAAAGGCAAAAAATATCTTTGTAATACTGTAAAGTAACCTAACATGCTTTGGACATTCTACAATAGGGATGCAAAGCATATATACATGCCACAAGTAAACCAGCCTTTCAGAACGGTTCCTTTTATTGTGGCATTATCTGTCAACTTTTTCAGCAAATACTACAGTGCCCTTATCCATAGCAGCAAGTATGAAAATATATTCATAAAATTATTATACTATTAAGCATAAAAGATAAAGTTGATTTTCTATATACAATTTATTCTCAGAGCAGTCTATGGTAAATATCTGAGAAACGAAACAGTCATTTACGTCTTATGTTTAAATTCCAGCAAGCACGGAGATATAATGCCTCAAAACCATACCTAGGGAAGGTCCGTTCAATAAGATGGCTGTGGATGGCATAAACATGGGTTATTTGAAAGGACACAAAAGTCTAATTAATGTTTCACATATGTACAGCAACACAATACTGTAGACAGAACGACTAAGATATGGTTTAAATTTGTATTCATACATGTAAATCTATTTCGGTCGCAATTGTCAAGAAATTAAATAACTTTATGCTGTACACAGTTGCACTATTAATAGAACATGTTAATGTACTACTGTACTAAAAAACTTGCTTGAAAATACATAAGTAAAACTACCTTTACGGTTATTTTTAATATCAACTGCAAACAAGTAAAACCCAAGAAAACTGGAATTCAGTCAACTAAATTTTGAGACAATATGAATACTATGGGAAATAATTACATAACATTCTTTGTGAAGGAAATATTTGACTGTTTCAACAATCTTTAATCCGCATGGTCTTACCAATAAACCAAGTGAAAACTATACAGTTAAGGTACTGTAAGAGAGAAGGGAGATGAATCATATCCCAGTCTCTTCTGTATTGCCATCTATACCCAAGGTTCACCTTAGTACTGTACTGTAGTGTTATCTCTTCATTGGAAGGTACAATTATCATGTAAAATCATCTTATAATATTATACTGTACAGTATATGATACTGGTGAATCCTGAATTATTTTAAGTATTATTCATCCCTGGGAAAGACATACTGCCGTGTTCAAACAGCTCTCCATCACTTACTCAGTGATTCAAGGGTTTTACTATAAAGTGATTCATGTGTTTATTATAGTACAGTACTGTATGTTGATTTAGAGTGTACAAATAATCTAAATCAACATACAGTACTATAATAAACACCATACTGAAGTGATTATATAATTTGAAATCTGATAAATTAATTTCAAATTTGCATTGAGCCTATCCCAATCCTCTCACTGTTTGTGCATGACATTTGAGTAACAAAAACCATTTCTAGGCACTATGAAAACTTAGCAATACTCACTCATTATTTTACACTATGACTCCAAGTATAAAAGACAACTGATTACAAGATACAGCATCAAAATTAATATATTGAAGCCAAAATGTACTAACTAGCTTACCAGTTGGCCTTTGTTATCTATGTAAACACGATCACTGGAAGGGAATTACTTGCTATCATTGAATATCTATATCTGGTTGTAATTTCAGCATAGCACCACTTGGTTGGTTACCACACATTCTACCACTTGGTTGGTTACCACACATTCTCAGACCCAATAATGTCCTTCAAAAGCAGTTGTCTTTCTCTTTCTCAACAAACTTTATCAACACCTACACAACAACTGTACATATTTATGAATTTACTATTCATTAAATAAATGATTCTTAACTCTGTGTCAATGGTATTAGACTTCAGTACAGTATTGCAAACATCGCCAAGGATGATGCTTCATTCTTTAAAACCTTTATATCACGGGAAAAGAAAGCAGTGCGCATACAAGACCAATATACACAAACAAATATATTTCCAATGCAAAAGCAATGATAGTAGCAGAAGTCACAAACTGCCCTTCACCATTTCAAAGACTCCATATATACAACATGTGGTATATGCAGCACATATTGGATAAAAAAAATTTTTTCCTTATATATTCAATTCAAATTTTGGCACTAAATTTCATCATGTGAAGAACACTGAGTAACCCACCATACCCAAACCTACAGTATTCATAACACTTGATGGATGGGTGTTTACCTAACACTATTGGAGCGAGCGAGTCTAGGGGAGGGTGAGGAGGACATTTCCCGCTGGTGCATCATGAGGCGGGCTTGTGTGAGACTGGTGGCCCGAGCGTGCTGGATTTGTGCAGCTATACTCGAGGCGCTTGAGCTTATACTCTCCATGCTCTCTGCTTCTGTCAGACTGCCACCCAGTGGTCTGTTTCATTTTAAAGAAGCCGAGGTATGAAGCTGTATTATCAGGGGCTACTTAATAAATTCTGATGCTTCACGACATATATATTAAAAAAAGTCTTCTTACATTTACTTTAACTGAGGTGAAGAGTATGTGCAGCTTTAAAATAAAAAAATAAAATAAAATTATCAAATATTAGGATGCTATCAAGCTTATTTTAACATAAAAGAGTACTTACAAAACTAGTGCTGCTCTTTGTGAGGGACACAAAAAAGTGCAAAAAAAGAAACAAACATAAGCATTGAGGATAAAACAGTTACCTTGTAGGAGCAGAAGCTACAGAACCAGCATAGTTGCTTCTGGACACCCAAGAATATGGACTGCTGTAAGGGCTCCCACTGTATTGCAATTCTGCATAATTGGAGTAAGGAGAATCACTTAATGAACCATCTGTAGGTTTGATGCGAGGACTTCTCTCTCTGTAGTAAGCAGAAGGGTACTGTCCATATTCACCAACTCCTACATGAACTTTACCATAAGGAGACTGCATAATTCTCTCTCGAACAGACTGTGATAACTGGGCTGCTACAGGACCATTTAGAGAGTAAGATTTGAGCTGGTATTTCCGACCAAGAGAGCCTGAGGAATATTCACCATCACTGTGCACACCACTGGACATGTAATGTAAGTCACTAGTAGTCTGTGTTCCACCTGAGACCTTAAGCTTTGTTCTCGGTCTCTCTAGGCTGTGACTAGAACTGTCATGGTGAGAGGAGCTGCCTCCTGCATTATCTACTTCTTTCATTGCTTTGCTGCCTTTTGTGCTGCCTGTGCTGGATACACTACCAGTGCTAGTTGTTCTCTTGCCATTATAGCCAAAGTTGCTCGGTGCAGTCTTTGGATTCTGAAGCTTTTTAGAATCTCCATTGACCTGAGGAGTCATGGCTGCCTTACTTCGGTCTCTACTGCTCCTCTCCCCATCTCTTCTCTTGTCTCCACTTGCTCCTTTCTCAATCTTTTTAGACCCAGATGAAGCTGAACCAGAGACACCTGAACTGCTGTTCAGCCCAGGACTGCTAGGGACCCCAGTTTGTGGAGACCCTAAGTTAGATTTTTTGTGATCCATTTTGCGGGAACTTCCACTTGAAGGGTCTACACCTTTCTGCAATTCCCTAGTTGAACGCTCAAGGCTGCCCTTCCCATTTTCAACATATTTTTTCCATTGTGTGTTTGATATTTGTCTGGGGAAAATGGTTAAGTGTTAGTAACTTCAAAACCTCATGAAAGTTTTACCATATATAGTTAAAACCAAAATACAGTATTAGTGTGGCAGCAAGTTTCTAAAACAGAAAATGCATAAGCATTAAATCATACCTCTCACTAATATCAGACAAGAGCTGTGCACAATATATATATATATATACAGTCAACCCTCGCTTTACGCGGTCCGACTTTACGCGTTTCCACGTTTACGCGGTACCCTGCCAAACACGGAATGCTCGCTTTCCGCGGTGTGTGTACCCTTTTATGCGGAGAGCGGCGCGAGCAGGATGCGCACAAGGTCGCCCAGTCAACAAAACATTACCGAGTTCTTCACCCGCCACCCACCACAGCCGGCCCAAGTCAGTGATAGTGATAATGATAGTGAGGATATGGACTTATATGGACTTTGAGGGGTTTGACAAAGAGGCCCTGCAAGCCTCTGTGGTGGATAGTGATACAATTGATACAAGTGATACAGGTGAGGGCCAATAATCTGCCCTCTGCCTCGGAACCAACCCCCCATCCCCGTGTGCACAGCCATCTTTTCTACTAATGTAAGTGTTAAAAACCCTAATATTATTGATATTTCTCTTAATTATTAATTGTGTGCATACCATCATAAAATTAAGAAGTTATATTTACTACAACGTAGGTATTGTGTCTGAAAAAGTGGAGTTTGGGGGTCGGCCCGGTCTCTATTTCAATTAATCCCATATGTTATGTCGTTCACTTTCGCGGGCCGCCGTGGGTTCAATTGACCGCGTAAAGTGAGGGTTCACTGTATATATATATATATATATATATCACGGCCTATAAGGCGGCGGGGTGCATAAGACGCCCCCCCCAAATTTCCATTTAAAAAGTAGCTTTTGAGCTCTATTTGCTGTATAAGACCAGTACCCCAAATGTGACACTTACCCACTGACTCAGTAGTCCTTTACCAACCATCCTTGATTTTTTAAAATAAGGCCAATTCACTTCAAGTAATGTCATCAAATTATACTCGCTGGTGTAGTGTAAACACTAGTGACGTCACTGAAGCGTGGTGGGAGTGTTCCCTCGTCTGGGTGGTGTGACTATTTATACAACATGTGGTTAACAGCAACCACCGTATTCTAATTGTGATGTTTCATTAGGATTTGAGTGAAAAAGGTTACCAGTATGTACTTACTACATACATTTATTACACAAATATATATATATATATATATATATATATATATATATATATATATATATATATATATATATATATATATATATATATATATATATATATATATATATATATATATATATATATATATATATATATATATATATATATACTGAATATACTATGTACAAAAAATGAATGTTCAATGAATTATTTATGGTGCATTAGGGTACTGGTCACTTCTGATGGGCTATAAATAGCCTTCTTTATCTCCCCTACATCTCACCCTGAGCCAGACGGAAGGGTCTTGGTAAATAACATGTTTGCTTATTTTCCATTTACTTTAAATAGATTTACCGAATTATTTGTTTTATTTATTTATTTATAATATACTGTAATATATTAAACACACTGTAATTATTTTCTTTAATTTATAAACTGTTTTGCGACAAAGGAATGTTCTCCAGTAGTGTTTCATTAGGATTTGAGTGAAAAAATATTACGTACTTACACAATTGTTCCTCTTACTTTGACAACACAACATACATACAGTATATTATTTCTCAGTTTTGATCTTTTTTTTTAATTTTTGTATTTATTTATAGTTAGTTACTTAAAATAAGGCCAATTCACTTCAAGTAATGGCATCAAATATTACCAGCTGGTGTAGTGTAAACACTAGTGACGTCACTTGAGCGTCTGTAATTAACCGTCGATAGTTTCAAGAATTAATGCACTTTTCCTTTCTTGTCTCCTCACTGGCAAATGGGGGGGGGCGTGGGGAGGGGTGTGTGATGATAGCTGTGTTTATTACAGGGGTATAAATCTCTTTTACGGTATGTTAGACAGGTTTATAATACATTTTTATTATTTTAATATACCGGTAATCTTAATTTGAATCCAGCTTGCCAAACGTAAGTTTCAGTATAAAATAATTAGTGGTAAGACCTTGTGAGTGGCTTACGATGTTTTCATCACCACTCTTGACACACTAAACCACAATATTTAAGAGGTAAGAATTTTAAACTTGGTGGTTTAGACGACCCCCTAACTTTGGGCAGATTTTTTTAATGTTCAAATTTCGTCTTATAGGCCGTGATATACGGTATATATATATATATATATATATATATATATATATATATATATATATATATATATATATATATATATATATATATATATATATATATATATATATATATATATATATATATATATATATATAGTTTAGTTTACTTTTTATAGAAGTGTATTAATTTCAGAAGTCATACTTCATGGTATTGGATTTTATTATTAATAACCTCAAGATTAATTTGTTTAATTACTGTATTGATATTCTGCAAATTAAGATACAGTAGTTACTCACTTAAAGGCACTGTTGTCAGTCTGCTGAGAGCTCTCCGTCTTCTTGACATGAGCTCGGCTGGACACTACTTTGTACATACCAGAAGGATCTACCCCCATTGCCACTTTACGTGATGAGGACCCACTAAGTCCCACTGGCAACTTCAGGCCAACTTCTTTCATGCTACGACCCTGAAATATAAGATTTCACATTCAGTATTATTCCAAGAATACAGTATTCAGTATCCTGGCTTTTAGAGAGTGGCCATATTTATGGAGATACTGTACTTTCTTGTGTTAATATCACTATGTACTGTAATTAAGAACCAAGACACAAAAGACATTAGTATTTTCATATTATGTTATGAAACAAATTGTCAATACTGTAATACAAGTTCCATAATCCAATTACAAGTCGGTTATCAGGACTGTATCAAGAGAGAAAAGGACTATGATGACCTTCCCACTGACCCACTGGTTCCTTATGAGGCAGATTCTTCTTCATCACCCTTCTACACCCATTACAAGATATGTTTGTGGCATTAATCATCAAGTGTTTCACCACAAAAATTTTACTACTTTATACAGACAGAGAATTTTGGCAATAACTCTATATATCTGAGTGATACTGATATTTCACATAATAAATTCAGAGTGGTAAAAAAAAAGAATACGTTAGAAACAGCACATACAAGACACAAAGTAGTGAGTAGGAGGGAGGGAAGAACAGGATGTCAAATAAGTGAGCAGCAAAGGTTATATGACTGAAGAAATTTGAAAAACTTACCACAATGATATCTATTTCACTTTCAGAACCAAATTTTAATTTAAAAAAGACAAAACTGTGCACAAATCATATAAAATAAATACTGTACAAAGCATCAAATGATGAACAAATGCATAAGGAGTAGAAGGAAGCAAAAGAATGTCCATACTGTACTGTATATGAGAAATAGGTACAGAAAATAGACGAAAAAAATTAAACATTTATAAACATAGTTGTACGTATATATTTGAATTCAGAATATTTACAGATTTCGGTAATGTTATGTTACATTTACTTCTCAATTTAACAAGTAAGATACCAGAGGGACAGTTCTAGAATTTTCCAAACCGCCAGGGTGGGAGAGGAAGCATACCTGTGCCGGCACGAGAAAAAAAAAGATGGACAGTTCAAGTCACCTAATAAAGTTTGGTACACAAGATAAAAACAGTCTTGTTTTGTTCCAGAAGAAATATATGATAGCTAAGGTTTTGTGTAATGAATTATTTATATATAAATCTGATGTTTAAACTACGGACAAGAAAGGCTTAAGTCTCAATCCTTTAGGCAACACTAACACTAGGCAATAACATTTTCCAGAGTCAGGTCGTGTTGGGGACCAGCCAGTGAATATATCAAGGGACAAACGCCGCTCATGAGGAATGGAAGCCTACCCAAGGCTAAAACGGCTTCCAGTATTTTTCTTCTCGTTCCAAATCTGTAGACAGATTCCAAGGAAAGACTTTATCAAGTGACAAATCCAACAAAATATACCACAATTTTAAAGGAAAATTGTAACTCATCAATAAGCAAGGAATAAATTCCCATCAAGGCCGGTTCACTGGGAAACAAGTGTTAGAGTGCTTATCACTATAATTATAGTATGTTTAGTGTGTCCGGCGAGGTGAACCCGTCTAAGGCTTAATATACACTAAACTTACTAAGAAATCACATTAGATTGTTTTTCATGTTGGATTATGTTGGCAACATAAACCCCTACACTATATTTCAATGTGATGATGTTGGGCGTGTTGGCCTTGAAGCAACACAATCGTCTTGGACTCAGAAGAGAGAATATTCTCAGCACGAAACAACTTCCTGTCGCTAGGTTGTCGCACCCCACCCAAGCCACTACTGCAGCTCCTGACGAAAATGCATTCACAAAATAAAAACAAAGTCGAGCCGGAGAAGCTGGATAAATCGATAGCCGGCATTTATCGTGGACACAAAGCCGCTGTCCACTTTAACCCCGGCTTCCACGAGGGTCGTCCAGCTCCAACACGTGACGATAAACACCTTATCTGGGAGCTGAAGACAATCCAGTTAGATCCCTCACAATTCTTAATTGTTTTTCAATAGTATAATTAATATCCTAGTTATGCATTAAAAGACCTTAGTTGTTGAAGCGAAATAAAAACATTAGAGCATCAGTAAAAAAAAATTCAACAAAATACTGATGCTTTGCGTTTCATTATCCGCTCAGCTGGGCTAATAGCTGAAATGCTAAGAAGGAACGGGGGGGAGGGGGGAGAGAGAGAGATTATCTACCATATACTTACCCTTGCCACCATTCCTGACAGTAGGCCTACCCAAAACTTCCCTATAGTGTAGAACGAGAAGAGTTGGTGGTTATGGTAATAACAGTGAAGTAGGCTGGGTGGGATGGGGTGGTGGTGCTGACCTTGGAGTAGGCTGGGTGGGATGGGGTGGTGGTGCTGACCTTGGAGTAGGCTTGGAGGGGTGGGGTGGTGGTACTGACCTTGACGTAGGCTGGATGGTCGGAGGACAAGGAGGACGAGAGCACGTCCTCAGCAGACATCTCGTTCAGGGTGTCGCTCACCCCGGAACTCAGGCTGCTGCTGTCGTCGAAGCTGTAAAGGAGACAAGGTAAACATTAATCACACGTTTGGTTGGTGACAGGCCGGCTGGGTTGTTCTGCTGGTGCAACACGAGTTTAAAGTTAATGTACTTGTCTATCTGTCTCTCTTTCCCTCCGGGGGAGGTAAAAATAACCTCTCCGGGGATTTTTCCTACAAATTATACGAAATTTATAAATTAATGACTTAATTACACCTCTCTTCTGTTTTACAGGAACACAAAATAGTGCACATGGAAAAACCAACACGTATGATACCGCGATAATACGGTGTACAATATATCAGGTATGAAAAATAAAAGGGGAAGAAAGACTCCAACAGCTTCACTATGAAAACCAGGCAATACCTACACTATGTTCTTTCGTGACAGATGGTGGGTTAGCGAGTAAGGGTGGTGTGTGGGTGTATTGTGGGAGTGACGAGTGAGGTGTGGGGTGGGGTGGGAGGCTACGAGGCAAGTGACAAGGTTTGGGATTTGTAGCGAAAAGTCGGATGGAGGAATGGGATTGAATATGGCTCCCAGGTCCTTTAAACATGTGAATCATACATCAACAACTTCCCAGAAAAACAATATAGAAATTGACATTAAGCTTTTCCTTTGACACAAACATTGGGAATGTGACAGCAACACGGCCAAAATGACTGTACACGTAGGAAACATATAGTGAAACGACAATACTGTATAGCATTATAGATCGTTTTAGAACAACGACAAACGCAGTGTGCACAAAAACGCGGTCCTTGAGGTGACGTCACTCAAAGTGATTTCCCTACAGACACTTTGTTCGCCGTCACTTTTTACACGAACACTTCATAAAACTGCAGACCGATGCACATGGCTTAATGTTATTACATGATATTCCTTGTGGATGAAATAAATGTAAACAATAACTACTGTACGTACACATACATACACACAGGTGAATATGTAATGCCGGGTGTGCGAGTGTTAACACTGAAATCCATCGAAAGGCCTTTAAAAGGCGGTGAATTGTCATCCACACGTCTGTCACTGCCAGGGTGATCCATGTCTCGCATGACGGTGGCGAAGCTGCATCACTAAGTTATTTATTTATGAAGCCGCTCCATATTACTCACCCACCCTACACACTAGCTCAATATGCAACTTCACTATGCCTTATCTGCACAGCTCATCGCCCACCATACTGTTCAATAGTGATTTTGACTTCTTGCGTCACAACACTGGCCTACTGTACACCCACACAGTGAAACTACACTAGTCCACACAATGACTCATAACTGATTCACACACCTCATTACAATGATGGTCAAGAGACACAACTCCAATTATGGAATAGCACTACCGGAATGATATATAAGCTATCATTTGTGAAATATAAACCAAGAAAATCTTACGAGCGAAAGAAAAAAGTCCATATACTTATTTCATTGAGCTTACGCAATACTGTTGATATATATCTACAGATAAGATGTACCATTCAACTTTGAAAAATAATATTATGTGTGTACAAAACAATCTCATCCAACAAAACATATACCATCCTGCAGTTTTAAAACTTACTTTAGGCTGGAGCAGGCCATTAAACGCTATATAGAATTTGTCTTTACTCGAGTCGGGAAGCCTACTGGGGGAGAGGGAGGGGGGAACGACTGCTCACAACAGAGACAAATAGACTACAATTTCATATATGTTGTTGTAAATGTACGAGGTAACAGCCTTATTCGTACATTTGGTGGGGCGCCAGCTTGAATCAGGAGTTACGCCTAACAAGAGCTAAGCCTAAAAGCTTTACCCGGGAGTGCGCATCGACACAAGAGACCAGCTAGTATTGTTGACATAGCTGCCACACAATGAAACAAGGCTACACAATGCCCAAGACTCCTGCCAAACATTATGTATATATTCCATCCAAGAGTCATAAGCCCTGCTACTAAGCCAAAATTTTGAACTATGAGCTCCGCTGCTCTCGCATGATAACAATAAGATAAAAATAACACTAGGCTGCCCTCTCGTATAACAATAGTATAAAATAACGCTAGGTTTCTTTGTTACATGTAAACAATAGGACAAACAAATAACACTAGACTTCTTTGTTGCATGATAACAATCTAAGTTAATTAACAACACTCGATGATATAATCACAAGATATCAAAACTTATAATATTTTGAACCAACACCAAAAAGTTTACCTTGCTAACATATTAGGATCAAGGACTAGCCTACGTATATGTAAATATACAGTATAGGCTATATTATTAGGTAGCATGTAAAAGACTGGGATTAACCTCATTTATTTTATTTAATGTGCTATATAAAGATTATTATTGAGTAATACTACAGATTACTTTTTATGCATATACACTAAATTTATGACTACCATCTAAAGGTGACTGCTGGAATATTCACCAACTGTAGAGGAGAAATAGATAAAACAGAATTCTCTTCTCATCTCTTAAATTCTTACTGTCAATGTTTGAAAATTTCCACTGCAATTAATGGTTTGGAAAATGCATCTGCATTGTATATAAATTCCTCCTTATTTACACATGCACGCACGCATGTGTGGGCAGTTCAGATACACGCAAAATTACGTGACAAGAGACGCGCAGAGCAACGTTATAATAATTAATAGTTCTCATTTTTCTTACGGCAGAAACTTAAAGTTGATTAATTCGCGCCTTTGAACAACAGTAAGTCAATCTGTGTATACATATCTCTCTCACCTGTTGTTTTTATCATGAATATCATTTTCCAATAATTAGTAAACGGCGAAGAAATTTATCGTCTACAGACTAATAACAAACTTTAAATGTCATGAAATTGGGGATGTGGGTAGAATAGTGGAAGCGAGGCGAGAAGAAAAACTACACAACGAAAAATGAGAGGAAGATGATTCGAGAAAAGGAGAGAAGGGTAAAAGAATTAAAAGAGAGGAGTGGTGAGGTGAGGGTAGATAGGGAGACGAGCGGGATTAGCCGAGAGAGGGAACAGAGGAGGACGGAAGGAAGGGGAGGCTGAGTACCGAGGGACGGGGTCACAGGTATAATATTCTGTTTCCTAGAAGACGGCTGCTGTGCCCTGGAGGGTCTGGCCCATGCAGTTAATAATACTGCGTTCCCTCGTACCTTCCTAAAGTGGCCTGGGGCTGAATTTTTAAAACATCGTTCTCTATAATTCCTCTCACAGGAAATATAACAAAGTACCTACTAACTACAGACATAAGAAAAAGATGGCGGCTAAAATGTGTTAAGACTACCG